TGCTTCCCATTGCAACGGTACAAATTTTCATTAAATTTGTTAGTCTACTTTTCATATGTCGGACAAAGGCTATAAGGTGGCTACTTGTCAAAGCACTATATGTCCAAACATAGGATTGATTGAATGACATATAGGAGAAGACGCCTTGCTTATCAAGATGAGACCATGTATTTCTTCATACAACGATGTTCATTTTTCCCTTTTTACTATAAAAATTCGTGCTTAGTGTTATTTGAAGATAATGCAATTTTACACCCTCAAAGTGAGGTTGCCCCCCTCGTTTTGTTATCTTATAAATCCCCGACGTCGTACACTAACATGGCTCACATCTTATGATCATTTGACGCTCAAATATATCTCTACAAGTTGAATGACTTGATAATCGGAATACAGGTGACCGTCTCCCCTACCATTGAAAAACACCATGTATTTAAATGATTTGTCAAAGTGTGTAGGAGACCATCTACGTGGACACAAGTAAAGTAGGCATTCGTTGATTATGTCACCCGTACATAATCGAGATTAACAATTCCGATTATTTAAATATTACATTCAAGTAATTTTTATTCTGTAAATGCCGTATAATTTTTTTTAGCGGAAAGATTAATTAAACATGCTTTAAAAAAAGGGTGTGCAATAGTTTTACAAAATAGTAATGCTATTCATGATCAGCGACTGCAGTAATCATGCTTATGTGATACAACTTGTTATTTGAGATAGCTTTTTTTTTTTAACACGAAAGTAGTTTTATTGAAAGTAACCCTCACTTGTGGCGGAGGAAAATCGTGGGACAAAACAGTCTTACAACCTTAGAAGAACGAGACAAATTAACTCACTTACATATATAGGGAACTCCAATGCGATCCAACCGTGCAAGGCCTCGAGCATACATAGGCAAGTCGGTACCAGACGTAAAACGTTGCGTTACTCCATGTGCACCCATTTTTGCTAGTAAATCCGCCACTTGATTCCCTTCCCGAAACTGGTGTGATACCTGAATCTCAAATAAATACAGTAAATCAATTCTCATTTTCAACCACACATTCTTCAATAAAATAATATTTTCTATCACATCAATAATCTTATCTTCTTTTTCAACCACACATTTCCCATCATATCACTATTCAAAATCAATTCTTTCCCCAAAAAATTCCTACCAAACAAGCTCTAAATATATAAATATTGATATTGGAAAATAATAAAATATGGTGAAACTTATATTTAAAAGTTAAAACTCTATATACACGGAGTACTGGTCACGCCGGCAATTTGCATTTAGCCCTATTTGGTATGGATTAAAATTCGAATTTTAATTTAAGTCGAAGTCAATAATGAAATTTTAACCACATATTTCATGAGACTCGCAATACATTTCATTATTTTTTATCAAAATTTATTAAAAATCTAGTTTTAATCCCCACTAACAAGGCTTAATTTTGAATATATCCTCTTTAATCTCTTCTACAGTATTTATCACAAAAGTTAATTATGTAAAATGCTTTATGATCATTGGTTCAATGTACTTTATGAATTGATTATTCTTGCTACGTCTGTTCTAATGAGGCTTCGAGTTGAGGCTGAGGTAGTCGAAGTGATATAACACTCGATGGAGTTGCTATGTTGAGGGCGAACATCCATGTTTAGGAAATGTATTATAACCTGCTGCAAAAGCTATCCGATCTAATTAGCCTTCTAATGAAATAAAACATCTCTTCACTTCTCTCAAAAGATCTTTCATACAAGATCTTTTTAGAATTTATTAATGTGACATCACTGCATTAGGGACTCGTTTGTTTTCCATTATTTTAATAGAATAGTGGATTTTTTACCCTTTTTTAAACAAACAAGTCCCACTGTGAAACAAACTAATCAACAAAAGCGGCTGCTTCCCATTGCAATGGTTCAAATTTTCATTAAATTTGTTAGTCTACTTTTCATATGTAGGACAAAGGCTTTAAGGTGGCTACTTGTCAAAGCATTATATGTCCAAACATAGGATTGATTGAATGACATATAGGAGAAGATGCCTCGCTTATCAAGATGAGACCATGTATTTCTTCATACAACGATGTTAATTTTTCCCTTTTTACTATAAAAACTCGTGCTTAGTGTTATTTGAAGATAATGCAATTTTACACCCTCAAAGTAAGGTTGCCCCCCTCGTTTTGTTATCTTATAAATCCCCGACGCCGTATACTAACATGGCTCACATCTTATGATCATTTGACACTCAAATATATCTTTACAAATTGAATGACTTGATAATTGGAATACAGGTGACCGTCTCCCCTACCATCGAAAAATGCCATGTATTTAAATGATTTGTCAAAGTGTGTAGGAGACCATCTACGTGGACATAAGTAAAGTAGGCATTCGTTGATTATGTCACCCATACATAATCGAGATTAACAATTCCAATTATTTAAATATTACATTCAAGTAATTTTTATTCTGTAAATGCCGTATAATTTTTTTAGCGGGAAAGATTAATTAAACACGCTTTAAAAAAAGGGCGTGCAATAGTTTTACAAAATAGTAATGTTATTCATGATCAGCGACCGTAGTAATCATGCTTATGTGATAACTTGTTATTTGAGATAGCTTGTCACACAATAGAATTACATAAAATTAATGCATTAAATAACAACTGTAACATAAGATAAATATTGCAATCATTGACTATGAATAGCAACATTCTTTACAAAATCAGTCAACTTTCATGGGTCCAAAATAATGCAAAGAACTTTGACAATGTAGCCAAAAAACAATTTCGTTTTTCACAAAATGAAATTGCTTATAATATTTCAACTAGTAAAAAAAATCGATATATGCATTTCACTATATATTTTTTTTGTATGATACCGTCCACTTTAGTTGTTCACACTCGAGCAAATATTTGTATTTGACTAAAATTAGAACCTTGTCTAAAAATTTAAAGAAAAAATAGTTTATAATTAAAATAATTTATAATCACCATTTAGCATAATCCTGTGAATATCCAATTTTGTTAAAACAAGCAATTGTTTAAAATACTTTTATGAAACTATCTTTCAATAAATGAAATATTCTTTGGTATTCTTTCATTTAAATCATCGTAAATTTATAACGGATGATGGCCACGCTGGCAACAAAATTTGGGCCAGACCAAACTGGCCTTCTTAGAATGACTTGAATAATTAGAAGAGAAAATTACCTAAAACCGGGTATTTAAGTTTCCAAATTCAAAAATCAGGTGTAGTGTTTATTTTATCAAAAATCAAGTGTTAATTAAAACCCTAATTAAACCTGATTTTCAATCCTATCTCTCAGTCGTCTCTTCCCAATCCCACCCCCTCTATCTCGTCTCTCCCTCCTCACTCTCTCTTTCTCTTGGCCTTCCTCGCGCCGTCACCGGAGACCACAGACACTGTTATGTATAAATGCTTCAGCTTAATTGCATCAATAAACTAGCGCCTGGTCCTCCGATCGACTGTCACTGACCTAGGTGATGGTACTGTAATGCACTGCTGGGTGCACAAGCTCCCAAAATCGAAACCGTTTCTCTCCTACTTGGCCAATACCTTAGATCAACGCCTCTTCGATATTCCGCCTCCATCTCTCCGATTTGACAGATTCAGAAACTGCTGCTGTTACGTAGGTGCCTATTCTTGGTGTGAAAAAACTAATTTCCATCCAAATAAGTTGCTTCTCTTGAAGGATTTGAAGATGGGGTTGTTTTCGGTGACAGACGTGGAGGAGGCCGCCAAAATCCTTCTGCTGCATTTGGTGAGGTTGTGGGGTGGTGCATTGTTGGGTGTGTTTGGTGGGAGGTTTTTGGCTGTGGTTGTGGCTGGTGGCTGTGGTGGTTTCCGGCAGTGGTTTTGTCAATAGTTGTGGTGGTTCCTTTATTATTGCCTACTCTACAGTTTCTTCGCTAATAATGGCGGTTCCTTTTTAAACAAATAATTAATTAACAGTTTGATGACCTTACCAATCTAGTAAACCTTGCTGATGGAACAATTTCAAATTTGCAAGTTCACACTATGGCAGAAGCATAGTACTTCCATTCATCACCAAGGTTCACAGACGAATTCTTTGCTAGTGTTTCGCATGGTTACTCGCTAACAATTAAAAGAGGATTAGAAGATTGTGTAAGGAACAAACCTCTTGGAACAAAGTCCCAAAAAGGGTGTTTATCGAATATGAAGATTACAGTTTGGATACGAACAAGATGCCTCCAAGGGGCGCAAGCACACAAGTACAAGGAGATGAATTAATTA